CAACCGGAGACAGACAGGCAATCCGGAGCTGAGATTGAACCCCTGTAAGATAGTTGATGTCTAAACATTTTGATATATATTTATATTGAAACTACCATATCGTAACTATTATATCAGATTCTGAATATTGTTTTTAATATATATGTATTTGAATAAGATGTTCTTAAATATTTAACTGCAAAGTAATAATATATGTTTTATACCCTTTATAAATTCCACTAGCCACCACTGCTATACATGTGTATAAAACAAACGTTTGTGAAGCCAAACAGTTTTTTTTCCAGCTAGTCCAGTTGTAGGTCAACCTCATCCTTTTTTGAACTCACCTCAGTCTTCAACTGCCAATTCGGTGTTCGAGTCAACTTGTTTAGTTCAAAAGATCTTTTGCAGTGTGCTTTTTAAATTTATTTTCTATTCCCACCCTCACAGTGAGCACGAGTTGGTTCAACACCACTGATTGCACCCTAAGGCACTGGGAACATTGAAGGCGTTGTATGGCAAGGGAGACTCCATGTCTGATAGATTAACATTAATATGAACTAGGGGAGAAAGTTGGGAATATTAAAGGTCATTTCCCTCCTTGACGGCTATCGAGGGAAGTTGCAACGGGCCATTGACGGTGTGGCCACATGCATGAACGAATGCAGCCGCTCCAAAAAAAAAGGCACAATAGGGGAAAGACATAAGATGGAGACCTAATGCTGAGCACATTTGTAAATAAAAGCAACATATCTAGACAAAGACAAACACTTATGCACAAAGTCTTCTTTTCCAAATAAGCTGACATTATACACTGCAGTGTGCTGCACTGGTACAATGCTGTGTTGACCGCCTATTAAGAACCAAGTGAATTTATAACTCCCAATTTGGTGATTTAGGATTGTGAATTTGGTTGCTCCTAGCTTCAGGTTCTTGTCACACAGGGACTGTTTTCTGTCTATAAATCTAACGGCCAAGAGTCCCCACCACACACACACATACTTTTTATGGAGGTTATTGCTCCAGCCAATATAGGATTAAGAGTGTTTCATGTACATTTTTCACTACCTCTGGCTGTACATGTGAACGCTGTATCTCGGTACCAACAGCACATATCCATTTGTCTTTGGTTCAATTGTAGAATCATCCATCAGATTTGCTTTTCTTACAAATGACGAGCAATAGAATAGGCAATAAAGACTCAGCCGTGGTATAGAATTATTATTTGGGTTGCGAGGGTAATAAATTTGTGAGAGATTCTTTATACTTCTTCTAAGCAGCACTTTTTTTAATTCATTTTCTATTGAATATTCAAAACTTAAATTATTTTATTTGGCTCTAAATTAAATACCATATCTGTTTGTATTTAATACGTTTTTGAAGTTTTATAAGTCTTTTACCATCAGGACTGGAAAGGAATAACAGCAAATTCCCCCTGAATGCCAGCCGTCTCCTTTTGGAGACCGCTCTGTTCAGCCTTTGCAGTCTTTAAAGGGATGAGGCCTATGTGGACAGCGAAGGCTAGGTCCTCTGTAGCATGTGTGGACAGTGTAGAGTTCAAAAGTAATCCCTGTAAGCCAGCCTTTATTGCAGGACATCGTAAGCGTCAGTGGACGCAAGCTCGGGTTCCATGTCTATGTGTGCTGTGGCTGTTTGTTTACTTTGGATTAGCCTTGCACTCCCTCAGAGAGAGGAAATAAAATCAACAAAGCAAACAAGGTTGAGCTGAAAAGTTCTTATTGATTGGAATGAATTGCCAATGGCAGATGTGAAAAACAGGTCAGCATAGATCTCCTCATAGTAAAGAATATTAATTATTAAGCATAATGTACATTCATGAGCTATGTGTCTTATGGATGTTGTTTTTTCTAAAGACAGATTTTTTTATACTTTGTCTTGGCTTAGGTTCTTTCAAAGTCTTAATTTTCTTGCTTTTTGTCAGCAAATTACAAATTATTACACCGTACGCAGTCCCATTCTCTCTCTGCACCAACACAAATTTATGGTCCTGGCTTTTAGATATAGTATTTTCTTTGGTTCGGTTCCCATCTAAGTCCTGCTTATTTAAAAGCTGTACAACCTCATACATTACCTATGGAGTCTTAAACATTATGTCACCATGGGATCGGGATCCTGCCCCTGCACTTAAAAGCCCCCCGATGACAGACAAAGACATAACACAAATGAACTTGGAGAAAAACTCGGCCTGTACTTCACAGTGCAAATACACTCGCATGGCATATGTGTGTGTATAAGATGAAAAGCTAGTCACTTTGCAGCTCTGTGTGGCGGTAAGCATAAACTGCTCAAAAGCTTCATCATTATTAATCAATAGAAATTACAATTAAGTTTCCTTTTTTTTCAATAATTGTTGGAATGCATTCAGCATTCCAAGTATTGTTCTTCTATTCTTTATTCCGACTTATTGTTGGAATGCATTAACCATTCCAAGTATTGTTCTTCTCCTATTTATTCAACTTCTTCTATTTCTTCCGTGCAACCTTTCAACTCACTTTCAGCTCTTCAAACTGTTCAAATATTAAAATGTTCAGCTCATTCAGGAGAGAGGTGCTATGACTTTTCAACTTTCTAGCTCTTAAGCTTGAATTTTTATAAATCAATAATCATTAATATTTTAACATGGTTTTCAAATGGAGTTTGTTTTCAAATCCTCTTCAACTTCCAGATTTTTCAGCTTCGCCAATCCTTCAGCTACAGACACCACTTTCAAATGTTGACACAAGTCTCAAGTATTTTGTAAAAAAACTGCTTGTTGATATCTATTCTACTTTTTTCATAATCACTGATTATGTTTCACTAGTTCTTCGTTCCGTTTCTGAGTTTTACATGAGTGTGTATTGCGTTTCTTAGAGTGAGACCTGGAGAAGCTAGAGTGTAGAGCAGCGTCAGAATGTGGTTAAAAAAATATGGAACTTCCGTCCTTTTAGCCAGAGTATACACTTTTGAGGCTTTTATTTCTTTGGATTAATGATGGCATGGTTGTGCTGATTGGATTAATGTGTTCATGGAATCCCAGAGTTTCTTTAGTTTTGGCTTCCGGAGTGTTAAAGTGACACAACCTCTGCCAAAAGCCCCATAGGCTCTAATACAAATCTGCCGACATATTTCTCAAAAAATCCAGAAGGTACACGTTTTGTAAACTGCGACAGGAGCCGTATTTATTACCGAACAGACATAAAAATCACATCCATGCGTTCGGTCTCGCAAAAACGTCTTATTATTTATAGCTGTTAAGTTTTGCGTTAGAGGACACTTCTTTGAGGTGTGGATTCTGTGTAACTCGCTGTCCTGTCTTTGCCCTGTTCAGCAGCTCGTTAATGAGCCCAGGTGCGCCGTTGCCGTGGATACTCACACACACGCTGCAGTGTCTCTGTCTGTGACTCACAGCTGCTCCTATTACCTGATTAGTGGAGTCACATAACGCAGCTATGCTTTCTGTCAACAGACCAACATGATGAAGACACTCCCCCCCCCCCCTCCACCCTGACCTCTTCTCACTGTTAATCACTCACTCAGTCAGTCTGTCTATTTCTCCTCCTCTCTCTATCTCTTCCTCAACACCCCTCCCTCCCTCTATCTAGCCTCCCCTCCACCCACCCAATCCAATAATTTCAAAATAAAATCCCCATGGAGGGAATTCTTACTGTAATGTTTGTGATGAGGCCTATTAATTAAAAACTTCTTAGTTTGAATAACAAACATTCTGTCTCCCAACCCCCCTCACCCAATTCCATCATATCAAAATGAAAGCCTAAATGATTATCTGTACATTAACCATGAAGCTAAGAACGAAGCGGTTTCGTTGAAATACGTATTGCTCTTTCAAATACTACTACAACCACTATGAATATTACTTGTACTTCTAGTAGTACTACTAAAACTAATATTTCTACTACCATAACTAACACTACTGCTAGTATTTCAAGTAGTACTACTCTTACAACTATCATAAAAAGTACTACCAGTATTTATATAGGTATACTACTAATGTTACTACAAATACTACTATGGCTAATAGTATTAGTATTACAGCTGTTTTTACTGCTATTGACACCAAACCTACTATTACTACCTCTACTGCTAGTACTTCTAATACTACTACTGATATTACTACAAACAATTTAAAACCTCTTTTTATTCATCCAAGCTTTTATTTCTGTATTTTTTTTAATTGATTTAAGCTCCTGTAACTTATGTATTTTTTAGAAAATCTATTGGAATTTAGCTCCTCCCATTTCTGTATTTCCAGTTCTTTAAAATAATTTCAGCTTTTCTTATGCAATGTTTTAATATTCATTTCAGCTGTTTTCATTACTGATTTTTCAGCAAATTTATTGAAATTCCTTTCAGCTTCTCCCATTTCTGTATTTTCAGCCATTTCAAATTAATTTCAGCTTTTCTAATAAAAATGTAATTTCAGCAAATGTATTCAAATTCGCCCATAGTTGCCCATATATAGTCTGTGGAACGCCCACAAATTAATATTCATCGATTGCGAAATCATGGCAAACACTGAGAGGAAAACAAAGAAACGTAACTTCACTCAGTGTGAAGTCGAAATGATCATTGGCGAGGTGGAAATGAGGCCCCATATCATTTGATCAGTCAATCGTACCGTTGATCCGGTGTGTTTGTGTTGATCTTTAATGGTCAGAATGAGCTGCTGCTTCTGCTCCCTCAAGTCCCCCTTTATACATTACAGCTTAAGAAACGTGATTCCATGGTTACCCGGAGGAGGTCGGCAAGGAATATGGGAATCCACTCATCATGTAGATATAGTGACTCAAAGTCACACTAAGCAAAGTGTGGCTTTGGGTCAGCCAGTGGAAGTTTACAAAAATGATTTGAATAGACTCTTTCTAATGATACTGTACCTAAAATGTTGATCCACTTAAGTCATTGGAGTCATCATTTAAAGTCTTTAGTACATAAAACAGTGACTTTAGGTCATGTGACTTGAGTCCTGTCGATGCCGCGAGAATCCTAACTGAACATTTGTTCTTGTTACGTTCCCCGTGCACTGCAGGAGTGTTGTTTATTGTTTGATTACACTTTGATTGGTTTCCTGTGAATTGCCCCTCCTCTAGGTCGCTGTGACTGGCGGATCGGTCGTCAGTGGGGCGGAGGACGAGGGCCAATCAGGAGACGGAGCCGCTGCTTAAGAGGGACGGCGGGCTCATTCTCTGGAACCCCTCTCAGTAGTGCTGACGCTCAGGGCCGCCGATTGTGGGCTGCTCTCCGGCACCCAGATTGTTGTGCATTTCAGACTGTTTTGGATAAGTGTTTTCGTGTCATCAGCGGCATCAGCTGCAAAACCGCGCCGGGGGGAAGAACGGTAGGTTAGTATATCGCGATATACATCCTGCCCGTAGTTGTCCTGTGTATAGACACCCTAGGGTAGAGGTGAGCGCCACCCCCTGTATTTTTGTTATTAGATAGGAGGTGTAGGCGCCGAGTGCGCGAAGACTCCGTTTTTCTTTCGACCTTTTTCTTTGGATAGGGGTAGGTCGAGGTAGGGGTGTTTTGGTTATACTTGGTTCTCTCAGTTGGCGCCGCCTACGTTCTTTCCCCAATGTATTCAGGTAGGGGTGCTTATCCCCCTCTTTTCGACTGGGTCCGGGGAGAACAATAAAACCCCAGTTTTTTTTTCTTTTACAACGTGCCTGCCTTGTCTCCTTTCATTTACCTCTCCCCCGTGATACATCGACAAATTTTAGTGTTACGGCTGTCCCTAGACCGCCAGTGATCGTAACATTAAATGGGGGCTCGTCCGGGATACTAAAAATATTCATATTTTCCCGGAAGGTTGATTATTGCGAGTGTGGTTGGTGGATTGATGGGATGTTCAGGGTTTTGTTTTGAAGGGTTAGCGGATGGCTGATTTTGATCTAGACGCTTTCGTGGGTTCACCCACCGTGGAAGTGCTGAATAAAAGTAGAAAGGAGGACCTGGTGGATATTGCGGCACATTATAAAATTGCTGTCTCGAAGCAGTGGCGCAAGTTGGAGATTAGGTCTACGGTAGCTCGGGGTTTGGAGGAACTAGGTGTCCTGAAGCTGTCTTCAGATGGCGGTGAAATCCCTTCGGAGGCTGATGGTCGCTCTGGTGAGGAGGAGCGCGGCGAAACTGCTGAGGTGGAGACCTCGGAGGCCAAGGTTGCTTTTTCGCCCTCCGATCCTTTCTCTCCGGGCTCAGTTGGGTCGGAAGGAGGTGGCGCGCGTCTAAAGGTCCGCTTAGCGCGAATGCAGGTAGAGGCACGCGAACGGGCAGAAAGCCGTCGGCTTGAGGCAGATATCAAGTTCCGACTTGAAATCCGTCGACTTGAAATCGAGGCGGAAACGCAGATTAAGCTGCGGGCATTGGAAATAAGGGCAGCGGACAGAACACCGGTTCCGGGTACACAACCGTCGCAGTCTGCCGATGCTGGCTCGGCGGGGACCACCTTTGAGGTCAGTAGGCACATCTCTCTCGTACCACAGTTCCGAGAAACAGAAGTGGACTCGTACTTCAACGTATTTGAGCGGATTGCATCTACACTTCAGTGGCCTAAAGAGGTCTGGTCGTTGTTGCTGCAGTGCAAGCTGACTGGTAAAGCTCAAGACGTTTGTGCTACGTTGTCCTTAGAGGATAGCGTGAATTATGAAGCGGTGAAAGCTGCCATATTGCGCGCTTATGAGCTGGTACCCGAGGCTTACAGACAACGGTTTAGGAGTCATAAAAAAAATCCCGGTCAGTCATTTGTTGAGTTCGCGAGGGAGAAAAGCGTTTTGTTTGATAAGTGGTGCACTTCCAGTAAGGTGAATGATCTTAAGGACATGCGAGAATTAATTCTTTTAGAGGAATTTAAGAATTGCGTACCTGAGCGTGTGGTTGTTTACATGAACGAACAGAAGGTGACGTCGGTATCCCAGGCTTCTGTCCTTGCAGATGAATTTACATTGACGCATAAGAATGTTTTTGTCCCTACACGTTCTGAGCGGGTTACGTCGTTTCAGGCAAGTTCAAGTAATTCACCGTATCCGAAAACGGCTGCGTTAAAGTCGAAAGAGGATCGTGAATGTTATTATTGTCACAAACCCGGTCATTTAATTGCAGAGTGTTTTGGGTTAAAACGAAAACAATCGAATTCTGTGCCTAAGAGTGCGGGGTTCGTTAAGCTAGTGGCTCCTGTTGATACCGATCGCAGTGATCAACCTGATTCCAGTTATGCCCCTTTTCTGTTGGAGGGGGCAGTTTCTGTTACAGGAAATTCGGCGGAGCAGATACGTGTGAAAATGCTCCGGGATACTGGGGCCATGCAATCGTTTATTTGTGCCGATGTATTGCCGTTCTCGGAGCAGACCTTTTGTGGTAGTCATGTCCTAGTGCAGGGCATAGAAATGGGTCTGGTTCAAGTCCCGTTGCACCAGATTCACCTCGAGTCGAAACTATGTACGGGTCTTGTGAAGGTCGCGGTGCGGGAGAGTCTGCCGGTGAGCGGGGTGCAGCTCATTCTTGGCAATGATTTAGCCGGCGGGAAAGTTATGCCTTTACTCGAGGTATTTAATAACCCGGTGGTATCGGATCAGCCTGATGAGCTGGCGAAGTCCTTTCCGGAAACTTTTCCGGTCTGTGTGGTCACGCGCGCTCAGTCCCGTAAGACGGAGGCTGAAGATTTAGCTACGTCTTTTATTTCACCTATTTTTCTCAGCGACATGTTACCTGATGCGAGTGATAAGGCTGTTGAAAAGGTGCCTGGATCAGACACTTCGGGTGTAAAGCTGAGTGTGACTCGGGAGAGGGTTATTGCTGCTCAGCATGAGGATAGGAGTCTGCAAAAGTGCATTGCTGCTGCGGTCTCCGCGGAGAAAGCACGGGAGAGGAAAACTGCTTACTTTATGGAGAATGGTTTACTAATGCGTAAGTGGTGCTCGGATGTGGCTGATGGGGCTGAATGGACCAGTGTGTATCAGATAGTGATTCCGTCCTGTTACAGACAGCAAGTTCTCTCTTTGGCTCATGACCACGACCTATCGGGACACTTGGGAATTAAGAAAACTTACTACAGAGTTTTAAGACACTTCTTTTGGCCTCGGTTAAAGACTGATGTTACCCGATTTTGTCGTACCTGCCGCGTCTGCCAAATCACTGGCAAACCGAACCAGGTCATCCCGTGTGCCCCACTCGTTCCTATTCCAGCGGTAGGAGAACCGTTCGAACACGTCATTGTGGACTGCGTGGGGCCTTTGCCTAAATCTAAGGCTGGTAATCAGTTTCTGTTGACTATAATGTGTACTGCAACCAGATTTCCTGAGGCAATTCCTTTGAGAAAGATAACAGCACCTGTTGTAACTAGAGCACTGGTGAAATTCTTCTCTACGTTTGGATTACCAAAAGTTGTGCAATCAGATCAAGGCACTAATTTTCTTTCGAAAATTTTTACTCAAGTGTTGTCCAGCTTAAATATATCCCATAGGATCGCGAGCGCCTATCACGCGGAAAGCCAAGGGGCGCTAGAACGTTTTCATCAAACCTTGAAGTCAATGCTCAGAAAGTACTGCATGGAAACCAGTAAGGAGTGGGATGAGGGTGTGCCCTTGCTCCTCTTCGCGATCAGGGAGACAGTTCAAGAAAGTCTTGGATTTAGTCCTGCTGAGTTGGTGTTTGGACACACTGTCAGAGGACCTTTGAAAATGCTTAAAGAGGACTTGATGTCTTCTGGGGCTAGTCCATCACTGAATGTGTTGGACTATGTGAGCAAGTTCCGTGAACGGTTACATAAAGCTTGCTCGGTGGCGAAGGAGTCACTTGAAGTTGCGCAAAGGAAAATGAAACGTCTTTTTGACCGCAAATCTGTACAGCGTTCCTTTAACGAGGGCGATCAGGTGTTGGTGTTGCTGCCTATGGTAGGGTCGGCGTTATCAGCCCGGTTTTCTGGTCCGTACGAGGTGGTACGGAAACTTAGCAATACAGATTACGTAATCGGGACACCCGATAGAAAACGAAAGACTCGTGTCTGTCATGTGAATATGTTGAAGACTTTTTATTGCAGAGAGGGTATCCAGTCCGATGTTTCGCCGACAGAGGAAACCGTTGTTCACCTGTCCTCCCCCGCTCCTGCCTCCGTGGCATGCGCTGCGGTGGAAATCTCTAACCCGGATGATGATGATGATGGAGTAATTGTTCGCCACACTTACCAGCAATGTGCTCGCCTCAAGAACTCTGAGGTACTGTCTGATCTGTCATCGTGTATATCTCACTTATCTGAAAAGCAAGGAAATGATGTTGTGCAACTAATTAATGACTTTCCTGCTTTACTGAATGATGTACCTTCTCGCACCACAGTATTAGAGCATGATATTAACGTGGGGGATGCTGTTCCGGTCAAGCAACATGCGTACCGCATGAACTCAGTGAAGAGAGAGCGTATGCGGGGAGAGGTTGAGTATTTGGTGGAGCATGGATTGGCTCAAGCCAGCTGCAGCCCCTGGAGCTCTCCATGCCTCCTGATACCGAAGAGTGACGGCACTGATCGGTTTTGTACGGACTATCGTAAGGTTAATGCGCTCACGGTACCGGATTGTTTTCCATTGCCGCGGATGGAGGACTGCATTGACAACATCGGCTCGGCCCGTTATGTCAGTAAATTGGATCTACTAAAAGGGTACTGGCAGGTGCCGCTTACGTCTCGCGCTTCTGACATCTCCGCTTTCGTGACACCGGATAGTTTCCTGCAATATTCTGTGATGGCGTTCGGCATGCGTAACGCACCGGCTACTTTCCAGCGACTCGTTAATCGTGTGTTGTCGGGGGTGCCTAAGTGTAACGCGTATCTGGATGATCTAGTAGTGTACTCGTCCGACTGGCCCGAACACATTGCTTTACTAAGAACGGTTTTCGAGCGATTACAAGAAGGTTCGTTGACCTTAAACTTGGCCAAATGTGAATTCGGTCAGGCTACAATCACGTACCTTGGAAAGGAGGTGGGTCACGGGCAAGTGCGGCCGATCGAAGCAAAAGTCACTGCGATATCTGAATTTCCTGCTCCCGCCACCCGTCGAGAACTTCGTCGTTTTCTAGGGATGGCTGGCTATTACCGCAGCTTCTGTAAAAACTTTTCGACGATTGCCCAGCCGTTGACGTCGCTCCTCAGTCCGTCGCGGACGTTTTTGTGGTCCACGGAATGTGAGCATGCGTTTAACGCGATCAAAGATCTTCTGTGTAACGCACCTGTTTTGGCCGCTCCAGATTTTGATTCTGCTTTTAAACTCGATGTGGACGCGAGTTACGTGGGTGCGGGAGCTGTGCTAATTCAGGGCGGTAAAGATGGTATTGACCATCCCGTCTGCTATTTCTCGCGCAAGTTTAATAAGCACCAGTTAAACTACTCGACGATCGAGAAGGAGGCATTAGCCTTGCTGATGGCCCTTCAGCGTTTTGACGTGTATGTGGGATCGAGTATTAGTCCCGTTACCGTGTTTACTGATCACAATCCGTTAGTTTTCTTATCTCGTATGTATAATCAGAATCAGCGTTTGATGCGCTGGGCGCTGATTGTACAGGGATACAATTTGATAATCAAACATAAAAGAGGCGTAGAAAACGTGATCGCCGATGCCTTGTCTAGAGTTGCCTCTGGCGGCGTGTGAGTACGATCGTTTGAACAACTATATGCTGAGTAGTTTTTTTTACATATAGTTGGTTCTTAAGGGGGGAGGTGTTACGTTCCCCGTGCACTGCAGGAGTGTTGTTTATTGTTTGATTACACTTTGATTGGTTTCCTGTGAATTGCCCCTCCTCTAGGTCGCTGTGACTGGCGGATCGGTCGTCAGTGGGGCGGAGGACGAGGGCCAATCAGGAGACGGAGCCGCTGCTTAAGAGGGACGGCGGGCTCATTCTCTGAAACCCCTCTCAGTATTGCTGACGCTCAGGGCCGCCGATTGTGGGCTGCTCTCCGGCACCCAGATTGTTGTGCATTTCAGACTGTTTTGGATAAGTGTTTTCGTGTCATCAGCGGCATCAGCTGCAAAACCGCGCCGGGGGGAAGAACGGTAGGTTAGTATATCGCGATATACATCCTGCCCGTAGTTGTCCTGTGTATAGACACCCTAGGGTAGAGGTGAGCGCCACCCCCTGTATTTTTGTTATTAGATAGGAGGTGTAGGCGCCGAGTGCGCGAAGACTCCGTTTTTCTTTCGACCTTTTTCTTTGGATAGGGGTAGGTCGAGGTAGGGGTGTTTTGGTTATACTTGGTTCTCTCAGTTGGCGCCGCCTACGTTCTTTCCCCAATGTATTCAGGTAGGGGTGCTTATCCCCCTCTTTTCGACTGGGTCCGGGGAGAACAATAAAACCCCAGTTTTTTTTTCTTTTACAACGTGCCTGCCTTGTCTCCTTTCATTTACCTCTCCCCCGTGATACATCGACAAATTTTAGTGTTACGGCTGTCCCTAGACCGCCAGTGATCGTAACAGTTCTCAATTGCAAACCATGTGATATCCATGGCAACTTGAATTTGAACTTGATTATGCACACACATGTACACACACTCACCTTGAGCCTCTGTGCCGTAACAAGAACCTTTGGCTGTCAGCGCAGCGCTGTGAAAACAAATTAGCCCAATGATTAATGGAAGAGAATTAGAGCCAGCAGATCATCCTGCTGTGAAGATGGGATACGCAGCGTAGAACAGCATGTGGTATGGACACACACACACACACACACACACACACTTGTTGTGTGTCGACCTTCACATTTTGCTTAATCCAAATCCTCTATAGTTATGGAAGAAATAGTGGAGAAGGAAAATACTTCTACATATACGCTGTAGATGGATGATTTCACAAACACGGGTAGAACATGTGGGATAAACATGGATGACTGTTCATTGATACGGGATAACAGTAGGCAATACAAGCTTGATAAATAGCTTGATAATAATAATAATAATAATAATAATCTGTATCCACTAAACTGTCTGTTTTGAGAAATCACTCTGACGGTGGTCCCGCAAATCCAGCAGCAGTGTTGTTGGAGAGAGACGGATGCCTCTTTGCCAATACCACCATAGTGAGACCTAAAAAGGGGAAATTAGAACATTGGAGAGAAGAGAGCAAGAATTGGATTAAAATTATTTTTCATTAACGTCATTTGTGTGGCTGATTAGAAGTGGAAACAATACGGCAGGGAGAATAATGCCTTCAACGTGCTCTCTGCTATGAGCTGGCAGCATTTGACACCAAAGTAAAGAGATATCCTTTTTCAGGAAAATAGCCATTGGAAGTAATCTTCACCAGAGCTAATATTAACCGGCAAGTCGGATAAGTGATGTAAAATACATTGTGAACTCTTACACCATACGCTGGTACTCACCATCCTCCTTGCATGCTGAGGGAAGCTGAAATGACCAGCCGCGGTTTGCCCCTCAACGTTTACTCTGGAGTGATATACCAATTACTTTAAACGGAGCTGAAAAAGAATGCTGCGAGGAGCTAGTCGGTAGCGGAAGGCATAAATTGCCTGCACCACAGTGATGACCTCATACAGGAGAAGGCCGCGGACCTCTTCTTCTTCTGCGGCTTGGAGTGACGGGTGATTGGATACAAGGCGGGCTGGTTTTGGATCGGCATGTGGCGGGGCTTCAAGAGCACTTGGACTGACCCGTGCACTGCTGATTGACAGGCCAGAAAGCAGCAGATGTCTCGTCTGTCAAGAGGCGGACTGCTATCACGGTGGACGGTGACTGATTGAAGAAGGGACGCATGAGCGGACGGAAGAAAGAAAAGGCAAAAATGTTGAAGAAAAGGAATTCAATGAAAAACAAAAGGGGAAAAAGGAATATGAGGAGATTCTTTGTATGAATGACAAAAGGAAATGGAGGCAGGAAAGCCGAGAAGTGAGGGATGTAGGGTGAGAGGCCTCGCCCTCTTTGGTAGCTGGAGTGGATATAACATAACCAGCAAGAGCAGTTAATGGCATTTTATATAACTATTAAGCAATTACTGAATACACAAAGCCTTTTTTACAGCATCCGAGAAGCATGTACATTGGGGACTTAAACAGCGGAGGGATTAAAAAAACAGTATAATGAAGTAATTTGAACGTCCGGGCCAAAACTTTTTCATTTGGCAAAGCGGTCACGCTTGTGCCTAATCCACAGTGCACCTCGGATTTCATATGTGACTGGGGTTTGTCCGCATCGGGCCCCAGCTACTAGCTTTAACGGGTACAGAGCTCTCCGACGTCTCACTCAATGAGGCCAAATAGCAGACCACCACTCTGGCTGCCTTTCTCTCCTCCTGGTTCCCAGTGGAGCCCACACAGTGGGGAGAAACGCTGCGACGAGCTACCAAAGTGCTCGCAAGTCTGCGGCAGGATGTTGAAAAGTCTTGCGGCCAGGCAGCATGCGAGAGGGGTAGAAGTGCACAGTCTTTGGGGAGTAGATAAATTCCAGGATCAAACTACATGATATCAGACCGATCATGGCCAGAGCAAGACAGATGTTGTGCATCTGGACTGAAAGCTACCAGACAAAAACAACCCCCCACTCCCCTCTTTCCAAAGGTTATGACCTAAATAAAAGGTAGACGCTGCTCGGATGCTATGGAAACAGCTTTGTGTTCACAAATAGGTAAAACTTGAGGCAACCCCTGTGTCTGAAGTATAGTCTTCCCTTACTCTCCGCTACATTGCCACATGAATTCATAACCTGCTTAATTTTTTTCCTGCTTTATTTTTTTACCAAAATATATTAAAAAAAGAATCTGTTAACTGGCCACAATAATTGGTAGTTTATGGTAGTTATTTTGATCCCTAAAAGAATGAAAATGCATCCTTGAGTGTCAGAGGGTGTTTGGATAGACTTTTCTCAACTCCCCCCATGTGAGCATAGACGTACATAAAAGTGTCCCGAGTCATGATGACGTCACCCATTAATTTGTGGATGGACCTTTTGAAGTCACAAGTTTGCCAAATTTGCTGTCGCCATCTTGGATTACTACCTCCATCTTGTTTTTTTTGCAACCAATGAATGGAAGCTACCGTATTCTGAATTCCGGAGGAGTGAAGCAGTGACACTGCGTACAGCTCTGGTAGTGATCGTGAGAAAACTGATTGCTTGTACGAGACGTGCAGAAGAAATTCCTGAAACTGGAGGTCTATCATTTCATAATGTCTTTGGCTTCCGATGAATCATTTGATGTATGGTATATGACGAGCTAAAAATTAAAGAAAAGGGATGAGGAAACATGGTCATCTTTCAGAGTCTTGCTCTGAAAAAAATGCTGTAAAGGCTGTTAAGACTCTACTCTAATTATGGTCCCTTCAGTGTATCCGGACACATCACGTCAGAGCCGATCACATGTTTTGACGGCATGTTAACACCCCAAGAACTCAGTGTCTAATTCCAGCTCCAAACCTTAACTGCAACCGTAAATCACATTTTTTGGATATATATTGACTATTTGCCCTCGGACAGCTGTGTCAAATGTTTATATGTTCCTGAATTAGTAAGAGCGTGTTGCGATGGTATTAATCACCAGTTTTTCTTTGCCAGCGGAAGAAAGTTGTCAGTTAAAAAGTGGCAGCCGAGCCGGTATTCCGCGGATCTTGGTTATATTTACACTCGGGATCTGCTGTGAAAGCAACCTCTGTCTAATCAGTGGAGAATGTTCTGGATCCCTTACCATGGATATTTAATCTGCCTGCATTCCAGTGGATGGGATGTTATGGTCATATATCCTGACCACTCAGGAGGCTCCTTCTTTGAGACTGATTAATGAAAGAATTTCAATTTTAATAATCACTTATTAGTCAAGCTTATTAGATTCAAGTTTAAATGAACGTTTTCTTAATGATTTTCTTATTATACTGAGCATAATAGTAGAACCTGTTAATGATGATGATTTATTAGATATTTATTTCTTTAGGCTGAACTTATTGGTGTCAGCCTTGCATAATTTTTATATATGACTATATATTATTCAGCTTAATTTTGATCGTGGTACTTTCCAGGTGTTGTGTATTATCCTGAATGCCTTCCGTGTTCTGTGAAAAGAGTGAAAAAAAAGAGTCACATTCATCAGAAGAAAATAACACATAATTCAAGTCACGTTTTCATTATTTACAGAAAAGAAATCAGAGTTACTCGGTGGAACAAGTTACACCTATACATGTCAAAGAAATACAGGAAAAGCCGACTAAAAATAACGGCAAAAGCAAATCATAATATTTTTACAGGGCACTATACTTGCACGTTTGCGTGACTGGCTGACACAAGGAAAATAGACAAGGATGATTTTTAGAAGTATTTTCTTAAGACCTCACTCCATTTCCTGTGCAAACATTGTATCGACTACGCGGAGGTGAGTACATGAAGAAGAAGTCAGGAGCATGAGGTCAGGATAGGGTTGGGAGGGAACTTGGGGAAGAAGAAAGAAGTTAGAGACAATGTCTGTACATTATCTCCTACTTATATGACACTTTATTAGTGCTACAGGAACGAGTCTTAAAAGCCAGACAATTTTTTGGCTATTTTAGTTCCTTCATCTGGAATTGAATTTAGGTTAGATGCATGAAATAAAGTCCTGGGATAATACAAGCCTGAGAGACTTTGTTTTGTTCTATTATATAAAATATGTCAGTGAATAACCCACTCCATATTACCCCATAACACCATATTTTAGCCTTTTCATGTATTTCAGCGGTTGCCCACATGTTTCTGAATGAAACCTTTAAGCAGCATCACGCTAAACACTGGTGCGCCTTTAGGTTTGTGATGGCTGCGTAAAATCATGTCATATTGTTGTCATTCAGTCTACTTTTTTAATTTCAAAGATTGTATTTACACTTCATAAAAGCCCATTAACTTTGTCGCACAGGAACCATTTCAGGTATGCCAATAAAACTATTTAATCTCTAAAGCACTCTATATAGAGATGAGAAAATTATAGGACCTGTATCTAAAACCATTGAGAAACGTCAATAAGTTGTAAAATCAGGTAATAAATAACTCTCATTGTAATTTCATTTTTTTCATCACATTTATTAAAAATTAAAAAACATTTAATAAAAAGTCAATATACACCTAAAATATATTTTACGTTTGTATCATTTAACTCATGCACAGTTTAGGGGTAGCTGAAGTGGAATATCATGTATGATTAGACCAAATTTAGTTAGTTCGCTAAAAGGATTTATATATATATATAATATATACATACATACATACATACATACATATCTTTCGCTGTAGTCTATGAGGCCTTTTCACAATGAAGCAGCACGTATCTGCCAGGCAGCGCTGCCATTCATCCTGACCACTCAGCCGGGACACGACTGATGGAGTGCTGACAGCATGGATGGATGGGCACGGGGGGATAGGAAGGAAAGAAAGACGGAAGGTGTAGAGGCTGGCATGGCCGGGAGGAGGAAGGTGTGTAAACTGGCAGCGGATCGACAGATGGAAAGTGCGAT